TTGTGGGGCGAAACGCAGCAGCCAATTGCGTACAGCAGTGTCCCACAAACAGTTGAGGATTGAGTGCCCAAATTATTATTATTATTTTGGAAGGAATCATTATCCCCAGAAAAGTTATCTGTCAATTGACTAACAGCTGTGTTCCGACTTACTGCTAGGTAAACAGAGGTGTGTGGAGTAAGGGAACTTGCCCAACGTTTCGCACTGCCAGGAATCAAACCCAGGTCCTCTCGCTTGCGAACCGAGTGTTCTAACCACTGAGCTATAATATGACTTGGAATCTCTTTCTCTCTTTTAGTGAGGTTGCCATGATGCCACTTGGGAAATCCATATGGTATGTTTTACAGTAAGCTTTGGGAAGGATCAGCAAATCTTTCTTTTCTGGACCTTGGCTGGCATTTTAACTTTTAGTTAACCATCTGCTCATTATTTTTTTAAAAAAATGAAATTACACAAATACTCAATAAATCAGTGAACATTTTAATATCCTCATGAGGTTAGGATGGCATCTTCTTCAAAAAACAAATTATAATTGAAGTCTCCTGACACGAACGGCACTATATAAAAATTGTAATGTGAATGATAGTGTGAAAAAACATCTTGGTTTAAATATTTAGTTTTAAGTTTATAAATAAAATTTTGCCTTGTGTTGATTTGGTGTTTAAATCATGCAGAAATCAGTGCAAACTAAACCAGAAGAGGTGTAATTTGCAGGCATCTCTGGACTTGTATAAACAGTTCCAGCTGAAGTTGTGCAAAGCTCCCTTTGGCAATTGCAATAAGTAGGAATGGTTCATTTCAAGAAAAGGATGGCTATTATCATGATGGATTTATAAATGTTAATTTTATATGCGCTTCCCTGTGTAAACTTTATTTTAATATTTAACTTGCTGTAAATTGTCAAGGCAACCAGAAGTAATGGATTCCAACTCAGACCATTCTAAGAAAAATCCCAAATTATATTGTAATTATCATTTTGCTTTTCCTTGGTGTTAAGCAAAATACAACACTGATTTTGTGACTTAGAATGTAAAGTGAGCAGATGGCTGCAGTCGAATGCCTGATACTGTATTTACGTTTTGAATGCTCGGTGGCTGCCAAGATGAGCAAAGTACAATTTGTCACAACCTGCATAGTTGACTGTATATCCTCGATTGTGATATATCGGTACATTTTCTAACCGACCTAATTAACACAGTCACTGTCTCGAATAGAAAAACTGGCTCCTTCCTGTTATTCAGGCATCCTTAAATCCAAGGGATCAGACGGCGTATTGGCTTAATGAAGGCAGGTGTCTATCTATTATCATGAGTGGGTGGATGGGAAAGCTTTGCAAAGGAAGATCATCATCAGTCTACTGCTATGGAATGCAGTGTTGTTTCTTCCTAATTGTAGCAAGATTTCTGTTCCGCACAGCAAAATTCACCAATAGTTCAAAAGTGAATGCTGTCCCTGTGCCTGTCTGAGGAGCCTTCTTTCATGCCACTATCTCAGATCCGTTCTCCGAAATATAAAAAGACAGTTAATCCCTAATAAGGTTCACACCACATATAATGGAACTGTGTGCCTTACTTATGGCTTGGACATTAGAAAATCAACATTTCTTTGAGGATTAATTTTTCATGAATATCTCAAGTAGAATATTAGCGCTTGCTTGAAGGTATCTACCCAGGTATCTGACATAATTATCTTTAAACATTCAGTCTGCTGAGAACAGACAAAAGAATGTAATGATAATGATGGGGTTTGCTGGCTACATTTTCCTTTTACCTTTTCTGCGACTGGGGAAACTAAATTAGTCAGCACCCTTAAGAGCAGGGAGTGTCACCTCTACTCCATTACATATTCATGTGAAAACTGGAATATGTAAAACGTGCCAATATTGTCCAAGTTTCCCTTGTGTAATGCCAATACTCTAAATGCGCCAGAGAATGTAATAATTATCTTTACATTTGGTATAGCGCCTTTCACATCAGGAGGATGTCCCAATGTGCTTCACAGGATATATTGCAAAGTGGAATGACTGTGTTTATGGGTGATAGTGTAAACTCAGAATAAAACTTTTAGATACAGCAAGCCACCAGCACAAGAGGGCTCATGTTTAAAGTTGTAAAGTATAACTTTATGACAAGGACCAGTAACATGGTGATAACCAACCGTTGACAATGGACTCATTTTGCCTGATCAAGATGACTTGATGCTGAAATAGGGTAGGTGGTAGGGTTATTCTAGAAGCAACAGATAAACCATAGATCCTCTTCATCCACACCTCTCCTGTGATATCAACTACTGCAAATTAAGTATTAACCCACCCAAAAGCAAAATGTTTCCCTGTTTAAGGGGTTAAAAACAACCCAAAGACGTGAAAAGCTCTCCACATCAACAAGTATAGCAGCAGTAGTGTATATGTCATCTGCGCTTTGAGAATTATGCGGCAGATCTTTAGAGTGCCAGTAATTACCCAACCCAATTTCTGCCAGGTTGTAAAGTGCATTTTAGGCATCGAGTACTACAGTATTAGCACCACTCCACACATTCTAACAGAGGCATATCACAATGATAAATGATTACCATCAGTGGATTAAAAATGTCCAATCAGCCAATTATTGGCATGGTCCAATTAAGTTGAATTTGTATATTTGAATATTTAAAAATCTTACCCTATTAATTCATGAGAAAATAGCCCTAGTTTCATTGTAATAATAATTGCATTTGATATAGCACCTTTACCCATAAAATCCAGTATGTAATGAGCTTTTTTAAAATATTGATGCATTATCATTATGCAAATTCACATCAGGGTCAGAAGATCGTGGGTTCAAGCTTCACTTTGGTCTCATCTCAAATTGACTGACACTACGATACAGTAGGAACATAGAAACAGGAGTAGGCTATTCAGCTCCTCGAGCCTGTTCCGCCATTTTATAAGCAAATGGCTGATCTATACCTTAAGTTCAGTTACCCGCCCTTGCCCCGTATCCCTTAATACCCTGACCTAACAAATATCTATCTACCTCCATCTTGAAAATGTGAATGGGGAAGTACAGGGGAAATATTGCATTGTTGGTGCCATTCATTGCCATACATCGAATGAGATGTTAAACTGAGGTCCTGTCTGCCTATTTTTCAGATGGATGTAAAAAGTTCTATAGATTGTCTTGGTTTTCTCCAGAATTTTTGCTCGTTCACCTCATGCCTGTTTGTGCACAAATTGGCTATTGTGTTTTATTCACAGATGCTACACATATAATAATAAATTATTAAATTATGGCAATTACCTGTGAAACACATTTGATGCTAATGTTATAAGCACAATATCAAGTGCAGGGATTATATTTGATGCTTTCTTCCAAAATTAATGTTTAGTTTAATATGGAACTTCTGTATAAAAATGATGCAGTTAAACAAAATTGTAACTTTCAAAATGGCACAAAGAAAGCTAGTTTCCGTATCAACGTGTTTAATGAAAGCAGTAGCCATGGGATAAAAGAATACATGTGATGTACAATTCCAGAATCTGCTAGAGCAGCAACAATGAAGGTGAATTGGTTATACGCTACATGTTTCAGATCTATATTTGAAATGAGAATTGAAAGCAATCAGTGGGCAAACTATTGAATCAAATATACAAAATATTTTGGATATAGATAAAGGTGCAATTAACTTGATCATTTGTTGAAATGGGAGCACAAACACACTTTGAATGTTGTGCATCAGTCCTCTGTTACATAAAATGTAAATGAGTGTTCTGTTCATTACTTTAATACTTTAAAAATCGTGCAGAATCAATGATGAAAGAAACCGAGGAATGTGATGTACTGCGTGTTCAGAAACATGATTTTGACCCCCAGTGTGAAACTGGCTACGAAATACTATTTGTTCAGCGTCTTGGGATGTCCTCCGATGTGAAAGCTGCTTTACAAATGTAATGCTTTTCGTTGTTGTTGGCTTTGGTTACAGAATTCACAACGGATGTTCAGAGCAGCTTTGGATTGTTCCTCTAATGAGTTATACTCTGTTGTCAAGGGATGTTAGTGAATTGAATGACATCCCACAACCAATGTTGAACAATTATGCAGAGAGGCAAACTAGTTTCTGTCTGTCTGATGTCCACTGTCTGTACTTCTCCTGTCACTCTGATGCAATCACTAGTCGGTTGAATATCAAGGAGCACCACTTGCACTGCTTAAATACCGCCCCACAAGTTTCCAAAAATACACAAGTTTATGGCCGTTCTAGCTTTAACATCTTTCAGTAAAATATAATTGATCTGATGCTAAATAATGTTTTAAAACATTTCCATTCTAAGTCTGCTTTAATTCCTGCTAATTACAATAGTAAATCTGATCAGTTTCGATTACGACAGCTTGCATTTATATAACACCCTTCACATTGGACCATGTCTTAGAGTGCTGAACAGTGGTGTAGTTGGACAGTTTCCTAATTATTGTCTTTTTCGTTTCAGAAAACTGCTTGGTATCCAACCATGTGTTGCCTCTTCTGATCAGGTATGTTCATTTAAACAGAGGTCATCCACTTCCTGTAAGACATGCCACACATGTACAAAAATTCTACCTTTCACATGATCAGGGAAATGGCTTCATATACTGGGAGGGGCCGGAGAGAGTGGCTTCCCAGCTCCACAAGTCAGATTTGCTTTTTCAAGAGTTAGCTGACCCATTTTTGACCTTGCTCAAACTATACTGTTATTTCACAAATTAGCAAGCATCAATGCTCAAACTTCTAGGTGAGTTGATACATTTAACAAACCAACTCGAGTCATCTCAAAGTGCTTCACAGAATATACTGTAAAGTATATTATATACATTATATATAAAATATATTCGCGGCAGCCAATTGTGCACAGCGGTGACCAATTTACTTTTCTTTGAAGGCATTATTACCCGCAGAAAAGTGATCTGCCAATCGACTAACAAACGGGTTCCTACTTACTGCTAGGTAAACAAAGGCGTGTGGAGAAAGGAAACTTTCCCAACGTTTTGCTCTGCTGGGGATCGAACCCAGGTCCTCTCGCTTGTAAGGCGAGTGCTCTAACCACTAAGCTATAGGACTCCATGTCTGATGCATCTTATTTTCTGCCAATTCAGGACTGTAACATAACTTGTTAGACATTTGACAAACCAAAAACAATTGTGGCCACACAACTGGCCAAAACATCATGCTGGATGCAGTTTTCAGTTTGTGTGCAGTTATTGTTAGAGAAGTACAAAATGTCTGATGAGTATGTTAAAAGTCACTAAAATTTTACATCAAAAATGATTTTATTTAGTAGGATTTGCTTACATTTCAGAACATTTTACATTTTTTGAAGTTCATAACAATTGATTTTTTAACATTTTTTAAAAAATGTAACATTCATTTCAATTACATATCTGTGCAAATTGGTGCATGTAGTTTGCTCTCTGAATTATTTGACACTATTACAGATACTTGATCGTATTTGGTGATGTAACTTTGACCTTCAATTTTCCAATCCTAAATTCAGGCAATTACATCAAAAAAATTACCTTTAAAAGCTAATTAACTGGAACAGGTCTTTATCAATATTATGTGATTTCCTTTTAAATGCTTTACAGATGGTAAATAGCCATCTGATAATTGATTTCATGTAGATTGCCAATAAGGACATTGCTTAAAATAAGCATCCTCATAAATACAGAACTTTATGTAAGAAATTGTGTGCCTGTCTTGCTTTTATGCCAACTCACTCACAGAAGAGTAATGCGGTAAAAATATTTCAGAATTGTCTGATTCTGAATAAAGTATTTGAAGATATTTAGTTATTGGTGCAATCTAGTGATACCAATTCACACTATTTTCAAAAAGTGTCTTGTATTTTTTGTTTTACATAATATTTCAATGATGCTTCTAACAAAATTGAAGCCTCGACAGAAATGTGCATTTGATGTATTTATGTCATTTCTATTCTGTGTCCTTGCTGTATAAATTAACGGTAAATACTCAGTTTATATAATACAAGCATAATTTGTCAGATCAAGGTTCTTATTTCTCATTTTCCCCCACCCGCCCTACCGTCCCCCAGCTATCTCAGCTGGCAGCCCATTCATCGAATTATATAGACTACCGATATATTTGAGGGCTTTGTTGTAGAGGTCAGAGTGGGAATACAACTTTGTCATTTTTCACTGTAATTGAAATGAGTACATTTTAAGTATAACGCGTCACACTAAACCTCCAATTTATACATTTCAATCACCAACGTGAAAAAAATGCTGAAGAGCATATTTCTGCACATGTGAGGTTTTGATTTAGTCCTGTCCACTGGAATAACAAAATAATTAAAACCTATTCCATACCTCAGCAAATTATGCTTTGCCTCTAGTGTGGTGAACATCTACAACACAAAAATAATGAAAAGATAAATATTTTTTGAATTTGATATTTACGATTATGAAACAAAATTGATTTGTTCAGAATTTCAGACTGACTGATTATAGTTTAATTCTATAATCAATAGTGCTGTGGGAGTAGGGATTATATATATTTTAAATAATCCTAAAATTATTGGATTATTGAAGAGCATTATTGAAATAATCTTTAAAAGTTTTTTTTAAATGGTAATGTTAATTTGTCTAGAACCAAGGCTGTAAGATGATTTATGCTGGATATTAATTGAAGCTATTCGACTATTATGTAAAGCTTTATTTGGTGATATAGCATTGTTTTAAACAAACTGATAATTTATCCAAAATGTGCAGAAGAAAAATGATCTTAATCCAAATTCTGCGCTTGAGATAAGGACATTGATGTGGTAGTAATCAATACCACTGTCTCGCAGGAAGATGATGGTGTAATTCACAGAGTGCAATTGATGCTGTTGTCATTTCAGTCACCATGTCAATTCAGAAATAAAGGTAGGAAACAATTTTATACACCATTCCCATCACAACATTTTGGTTTTGGAGTATGAATTTTCCATTACTATACAGGTGATGTGTACGAGTGTCAATACTAGGTTTAATAATTTTGGTCTGGCACAAGTAAAGTGTTTGCACAGATGTTACCCGAACACAGAAAATGCCTTGGATTTTCTGTATGTTGGCATACTTAGCCTATATTGCAGTAGTAGTACCACCCCAATGCACTCTCTGAGGTCCCCAAGCCTTACCTGTTATCAACTTGCATCTAATATTCTGTGGAATTAGGTAAGCAGGATACATCTCTCCAGGGAGTCAGCATGTATTCCATTCCAGAAACAGGAACATTTGATGTTGCATACATGTGCAGAATTTTGTCTGGTTTAGATCCCCTTGAGTCTGGCGATGGATTTCCACAAGTGTCAGACACCCAGCTGACCAATAAAAAGGTCGAAGGCAAACTAAGGATTTTATCTTCCCATAGAAATGTCAAGAACATCTTTCTAATCTATGTGGAGCAATTCCCCTGTGCCACCCAGGGAATCGTCCATAATTTTCTAAATGTATTTAGCTTTGACCTCCTGTTCATTTCGTTATCACCTTACACAGTAATGATGGGGTTAGTACTTTCCACCTGTCAAGGTCTCCACTCGATACTCCTCATATCAAGACATTCTAAGATCAAATCAATAATATCTAAATAGACCATCCCTTTGGGAGAACAGTTGCGATCATATCTTAACAACTTCCTTATTTAAGCACTTGCTATTTAGTGGAAGGCATCCTGATTTTATGTTTTTCATGAAAGCTTGTGAAATTGGGCCAACATAAGACTGGTTGAAAAAAATTGCATTAAATATTTAGATAAGGTATGTTGTAAATGGAATATGCAAACTAAATGCAAATGCAACTCCTCCAGATTTCACCCCTGGAGATGGTTGCTGATCAGCCATTGGTTGAAAATTAGACTAATAAAATCTCTTAAGAATTTGACCATTTTATTTTCTCGCAGGGTAGGTTTTCTTTGCTGGAAATGACTCTTTGTACTATTGTAAATTAAGTAAATCGTGTGATGGTGGAGGTTGAGCTCCCACCGCTGGTGAGAAAGTGCTCTAGCGAGGGCAGCCATTTGTCTTTGTTCGCTCTGCGTGATAAACCTCCACTCAGCATGTTCTCGGCTGAGACCACAAAGTTGCAGATCGGTGCAGTTGTTAGTTGATTGGTGGATCGCTTTTCCGGGGGTCATAATTCCTTCAAAAAAAAAATTGGTCACTCAAGCCACGATTGTTTGTGGGACGCTGCTGTTCACAATTGGCTACCACGTTTCGCCCACAAAATATACAGTCAATTCACCTTACTGTATATTCTGTGAAGTGCTTTGAGACGTCTCAAAGATGTGATAAGGTGCTATATCAAATGCAAGGATTATTATTATTGTAGTGGTTAAGTTGTGGCTCAGGGAATTTTTTGTGCGGTGCTCTTGATCGGGGGTGGAGCCACAGATTTGTAGGTGGCTGAGGGGTCTCTCGGATGGCGCAGTAACTTGCACCCCAGTCAGGCCACTGCCCCCGCAGGTGGTAAGAATGTCACTATCCTGTTTTGCATGGTGCCCCACTGTCTCAATTATTCCTGCGCTTTTTCTGAGTGGCAGGGCATGTGATCAAAAGTATAAATACTGCGTGTTTGAGACTGGCAGACACAGCTGTACCCTGGAAAGACTTGTAAATTGGTCAGCTTTTCCGCCTAGCTCAACCCGTAAGTACCTTAATGTATTATTATGACTCATGACTTAATTTAAGACTTTGGAGTGTCGTCAATTGCATGTTTTGTGGCCAATAAATAGTTTGAATTATTTTTGAATTTAGTTATTCTACTTGTTAATATAAACAGGATACTGGTCCTCCTGACTCGAACTCCCCTGATTCTAGTCACTGGGAGATGGGCACAAATTGAATATCTTATTATTGTATTATCACGGAGCTAGTATTTATACCCAATCAGCATAAACTATATATCTACTCTCCCTTTAACCTGTAGCTGATGTAATCTCGTATCCATTAAAATGTGACTGGAAGACTTATTTATAATGATCATCTGTACGAATAGGGAATACGTATCAATAATCTTAACAATAAGTATGCTCTACAACACTCATTATAACTCAACTACTATATAAATAATCTTCCCTGCTGTAACTTTCAAATGTTAGGCAGTACAATAGTAACAACAGCCTTATTCAGATTATGATAATATGTTCGCACTTAATACAGCACCTTCCTTGTTGGGAGGACTTCTCAAGGCACTTCATGTTTTTTATAATATATACAATATGGAATCCTAGTGTCCCATGAGGGGAAAACATATCTTGGTATCTTTTGTGTAGGGCTTCATCCTGGGCTGCCACAATAAATCTATGTATTTAAAGTGAACAATGCCATTGTTTCACTTAAAAATAAAATCGGTCACTCACTCCATGGCTATCTGTGGGACATTGCTGTGTACAAACTGGCTGCATCTTCATATTGGCCCAAGAAAATGCACCTTTTCCTCTGGTCAGTTCTCCTTGTGTTAAAATTTGCATCAAACGTATCAATTATGAATTCTTGCCATTGACTGACTTTCATGTGACTTTCTGTAATGGAAATACAGCCTATTAGCTCGAGGATTTATTTACTCTAAGGCTATGCTGGCTCTCGGATGTTGAAACTGATTTACTTCAGGACTGTAGCCTTGCATTTTATCTGTGTGTAACATCATTTGCCAGTAATCAGACAAGTTATGTCTCCTATTGAGCTCTTAATGTTTTAGCCGCCTCCTCTGATTCTACAGTTTCTGCTAGATTTATTACTGGCAAATCTTACTCCCTTGCACTAAGTCTGCCGATCAGATCTTTTGTATACTATTAACTGGAGGGTTCCCAGTACAGACCACTGAGGCATCCAACTCACTGCCTTCCTCCTACCACACTGTGTTGATGCAGTTACTCCAAAAGAATACCTTCCGCTTCCTTCTCAATGACTATGACAAACCTGGGCCTTTTGCAAAATGGTGTCTCATGGATCTATGATTTGTTAGCATACAATGGAGAGGTTATCTGTATTTCATAGTTCACGGATGAGCCTTTGTCTGGTTGATGCATGAAGGGTGGTTGTCCTGCAAAAGATTAAAA